GCTTGGCTGCGTTGCCATGGGGATGTGGCCTGGCCGGCGTCTGAGGCGGGTTGACAGGACACTCTGGTAGCCCGGCCTTCGGGCTTTCTCCAGACGGTGTTATTTCTCGTATCCTCTGAGAAAGTTGGCTGAAGAGGAGCCCAGCAGCCCTCGAGGTGAGAAAGGGTAGCGGGTTTAAGCCCCGCGCCTGCGCGGGAGAGGGCGCGCCTGTCCGCGGAGCCGCGCGTGCGGAGACCGGTGTTTGCTGGGCAGCTAGAAATTGTCTTCTCCTGGTTCTTCGACGGTTGACATATTCCCCCACGTTTCATCTCCCTGTCTACGGTTTCTTCAGCAATTGCCCGGAAAACCACCGTTCTTGGTTTTTTTCTGAGTGCCCAAAGTCCTCTTGCCTTTGAAACACACTTCAGAGCGCTTCTATTCCACTTTGGATTGTTTTGTGTACTTCCGGAAACCTCGTTCTTCTTTTTCTCATATAACTGTGAACTCTGAGATAAGACAAGCGTTTTCACATATCCTATACACATAGTAGACTTTTAAGAAATATTTGTTCAGTCGAATTTTTTTCCTTCAGATTTCTTTTTATTTGAATTAGAAACAAGATTGTTTTACATGTCAATACCAGTTCCCTCTCCCTCTCCTACCCCCCCCCCCCAACTAAAACCCTACCTATCCCATACCCTTTCTGCTCCCCAGGGAGAGTGAGGCCTTCCATGGGGGGGGTCATCAGAGTCTGTCATATCCTTTGGGATAGGGCCTAAGCCTCCCCTGTGTGTCTTGGCTCAGGAAGTATCCCTCTATGTGAAATGGGCTCCCAAAGTCCACACCTATGCTAAGGATAAGTACTGAACTACTACAGGAGGTCCTGTAGATTTCTGAGGTCTCCTCACTGAAACCCACGGTTCTGGGTTCTGGATCAGTCCCGTGCTGGTATCCCAGCTATCAGTCTGGTGGCCAAGAGCTCCCCTTTGTTCAGGTCAGCTGTTTCTGTGGGTTTCACCAGCCTGGTCTGAACCCCTTTGCTCATCACTCGTCCTTCTCTGCAACTGGATCCCATATCAGCTCAGTGATTAGTTGTGGGTATCTGCTTCTACTTCCACCAGCTGCTGGAAGGCTATAAGATGGCATATAAGTCAGTCATCAGTCTCATTATCAGGGGAGGGCATTTAAGGTAGCCTCTTCTCTGTTGCTTAGATTGTTAGTTGGTGTCATCTTTGTAGATCTTCAGATATTTCTTCTGTTCAGTCGAATTTAACTCACTACAAATAGATTCTATTTTCTTCCATGCCTTGTTCCATGCAAAGATGATTTGGGGGCAGGTGGAAGAGAGAGGACACACTAATCTCGTATACAAATAAGCCTGAAAATTCAGCATTGGGATTTCCATCTTTTGGTTACAACAACTTTCCTACATTGTAGTCTATCTACCAATACCTTTTATCAGGCTCCTAAATGTATTTCCTCAAAACAGACCATTCTGTTGTTATATACCAGAGGATTTTTCTCTTTTTATTTCTTCACCTACAACTATTGTCACATTTTATCTGTGCTTTGGGAAAATGTAATCAGTTATTTGAGTTTGAATTTTTTTCACTTACATTACATGTGTGTACCACAGCACTCAAGTGAAGGTCAGAAGACAGCTTTGAGGAGTCGGTTCTCGTTTTCCATTATGTTGAGGCAGGGTCTGTCTTGTTTCTGCTGCTGCTGTACAGCGGTCTCCAGGCTAGATTCCCGTTATGCCTCCCATTTCTCCAAAAGAATGCTGGGCTTACAGACGTGCACTACCACATGTGGCTTTTGTTTGTTTGTTTTTTGTTTTGTTTTTTTTTCAAGACCGGGTTTCTCTGTGTAGCTTTGTAGACCAGGCTGGCCTCGAACTCCCGAGTGCTGGGTTTAAGGGCGTGAGCCACCACCACGGGGCTCACATGTGACTTTTTATGTGGTTCTGGGCATTGAACTCAGGTCATTAGGCTTATGAATTGTGTGCATTTACCTACCAAGCCCTTTCCTTGGCCCTGATTTGAGTTTCTTTTTTTTTTATTTTATGTGTATGAATGTTTTGCCTGTATTATGTGTACCTTCTTTTTGTATGTCTGGTGAGAAGGAAGCCAGAAGAGGGTGTTGGATCCGGTTGAACTGTAGTTACAAACACTTGTGAGCTACCATGTGGATGCTGTGAGTAGAACCCCCTGTTCTTTTGAAAGAACAGCCAGTGCTCTTTAAAAAAAAAATACTTATTTATTATGTATATAGTGTTCTGCCTGCAGTATGTTTGCACACCAGATCTCATTACAGATGGTTGTGAGCCACCATGTGGTTGCTGGGAATTGAACTCAGGACCTCTAGAACAGCCAGTGCTCTTAACCGTCTCTCCAACCCCATTATTTGAGGTTTGTTTGTTTGTTTAGTTGGTTGGTTGGTTTTTCGAGGCAGGGTTTCTCTGTGGCTTTGGAGGCTGTCCTGGAACTAGCTCTTGTAGACCAGGATGGTCTCGAACTCACAGAGATCCATCTGCCTCTGCCTCTGCCTCTGCCTCCCAAGTGCTGGAAATAAAGACATACGCCACCACTGCCTGGCACTATTTGAGTTTTTTGAGATAGCATTTCATACTGTAGCACAGGCAGTCCTGGAACATGCAGTAATTCTCCTGTCTCGGCTTCTTGAGTGCTGTAATTATAAATAAAACATTTATTATTTGTTGTATGTGTGTCTGTGTGTGAACAGAGGACAGCTTTTGGGGAGTAGATTCTCTTTTACAGTGTGGGTCCTGGGGATTGGTTCAGGTCATCAGGCTTGGCAGAAAGTGCCGTTACCTGTTGAGCTCTTTTGCCAGCCTTTAAAACATCTTTTTTTTTTTTTCTTTGCATTTATATTCTACAGAGTTTTTGAGTGTTTTGTTTTGGTTTGGTTTTTCGAGACAGGGTTTCTCTGTGTAGCTTTGGAGCCTATCCTGGCACTCGCTCTGGAGACCAGGCTGGCCTCGAACTCATAGAGATCCACCTGCCTCTGCCTCCCGAGTGCTGGAATTAAAAGTGTGCATTACTACTGCCCCGCCCTACAGATGGATTTTTTTTTTATGACCACTCTCTTCAGTGTGTATTAACAGCTCAGCCTCTATACATTCATCAGGTATCCATAATCCTATTGTGTTTCCAGGACTGTTTCATTGTTAACTTGTGGCCTATATCTTCACAGTATTATTGCTGATTATTCTTCCTAATATGAAATTCATAGCTCAGGCTTAACTTTATTGAAAGGATTAAAAATGTTGCTGGGCCAGCTGGAGAGATGGCTCAGCATTTTAAGAGCACTAGCTGCTCTTCTGGAGGGCCCAGGTTCAATTCCCAGCACCCAGATAGCAGCTCACAACTGTCTGTAACTCCAGTTCCAGGGTATCTGACACCCTTTCACAGATATACATGCAGGCAAAACATCAGTGCATATAAAATAAAAATAAATAATTAAAAATAGTTTTAAAGCATGTTGCTAGACAATGATGGCACACTCCTTTAATCCCAGCACTTGGGAAGCAGAGGCAGGAGAATCTCTGAGTTTGAGGCCGGCATGGCCCACAGAGTGAGTTCCAGGACAGCCAGGACTGTTTCACAAAGTAACCCTGTCTTGAAAAAACAAAAAACAAAACAAAAAAGAAAAAAAAAAGTTTTGTTGAATGAGGCTGGTAGTGTGGTGGTGCACACCTTTAATCCCTGGATCTCTGTGTGTTTAAGGCCAGTTTGGTCTAAATAATGAGCTCCAGGCCAGCAGGGATACATAGAGAGACCCTGCCTACACACATACACATACACATACACATACACATACACATACACATACACCTACACATACACGCACACATACACATACACATACACCTACACATACACGCACACATACACATACACATACACCTACACATACACGCACACATACACATACACATACACCTACACATACACGCACACATACACATACACATACACCTACACATACACGCACACATACACATACACATACACCTACACATACACGCACACATACACATACACATACACCTACACATACACGCACACATACACATACACATACACCTACACATACACGCACACATACACATACACATACACCTACACATACACGCACACATACACATACACATACACCTACACATACACGCACACATACACATACACATACACCTACACATACACGCACACATACACATACACATACACCTACACATACACGCACACATACACATACACATACACCTACACATACACGCACACATACACATACACATACACCTACACATACACGCACACATACACATACACATACACCTACACATACACGCACACATACACATACACATACACCTACACATACACGCACACATACACATACACATACACCTACACATACACGCACACATACACATACACATACACCTACACATACACGCACACATACACATACACATACACCTACACATACACGCACACATACACATACACATACACCTACACATACACGCACACATACACATACACATACACCTACACATACACGCACACATACACATACACATACACATCCCCATACACATACACATCCACATACCCCCCCCCCCCACACACACACACACACACGTTTAAATGAGTAATGGAGCCAAGTATAACAACATAGGCTCTAGTCTGTAGTCTGAGCTGCTTGAAAGCTGAAGCAGGAGAAATACCCTAATCCAAGATTTGAAGCCATCCTAAGTAACATAGCTTGGCCAAGACCTAGACCTGCAGTGCTAGGGGTGGAGCCCAGGGCCTTGAGCATGCTTGGTGAATGTTTCACTACTGAGCTACATCCCAAACAAGAAACAGTTTTAGTGGTAGTAATAACAGCAGAAACAGTAGTAGTAATGGTGGCAGTAACAGTTGTAGCAGTGGTGGTAATAATAGCAGTAGTAGTTGTTGATGTAGGTTCTAGGTTAAAGGAGAAGAAGAAATCCTAATATGCTTTCTAATTCAGGTCTGAGTGGTACCATCACCCACTTCCCCAATCCACCCCCCACCCCCCGGCTTTTGTAAGGAAATAGCAAGTTTTTGTTTTGTTTTTTTAATAAGGAAGTGATAAGTTGTTGTTATGTGATACATATGTTCAG